GAAATCATACGGGTGGAGAGTCGTCTTGATCGTCCCAAGGATGTGTTTTGGAATTACATTTCTAAACGGAGGTTATTAGAAATGCCACCCTTGCAATTATTACGTACTAAGCAAGAACAAAGTAATGACTTYGATTGTACTCTCAAAGATGTGGACAGTGAACCAGAAGAAATACCTCCTTCACCAAAAACATTCAAAAAACCTAAAGGGTAAAATTTCATTTTTCATTTTTCATTTCAAAACCTTAAAAAAAATTTTTTTTTTTAACCAGATATCGTCAAAAGCGTTATTCAACTCGATCTGAAACCAATGACTCAGTATTTAAAGATAATGTAGTATCAAAGCATCGTCGATCTTCTTCTAAGCATTCATTAGCACCTGTTTCTAAAAATACTGATTCTAAAATCAAACCTAAACGTGCTAAATCTACTTCCAGTCAACAACATCGCAGTAGTTCTGTTGAAAAACGTAATGACAAAAAAGAATTTCGTTCTTCTTCTAAAAAACCTAACAAACGTCGTACAAAATCTGAATCTGCTAAAACTGTAACATCGCCAGTAACAGTAACTGAGTCTAAAAGTTCTAATGGTACACAAGCTGATTCACCAGTTGTGTCCATTGGAACTCCTAAAAATAAACGTCGATCTCGTCCAAAACAGTCCCGCAAACGTATTAATTCAGATGATATTGATAAACAATCCATTAATCAATCTTATAATAAATATAACTCTCGTAGTACTTCTCGTGCTACTAGGCGTGATTATATTGATCGTGAAGATCATGGTCGTGATATGTCTGTTGGGCGTAAATTTCAAAGAGATTATATACATAGTCCAAGAAAATATTATTCACAAAACTATCGTCAGAACAGTTATTCTCAAGAGCGGCAATCTTATCATGGAAGCACAAGGTCAAATAGCAGAACGCATCATCATGATTCGAATAGGTCAGATGTTATGCAACAAAATAGATATTCGAATGGTCCAACTGTTCGTCCCACTAGATATTTCAACGGCCCTATGGTACGCCATAACTTTAATGGACCAGATACACGTCAAAATGGTGGAATCAATCATCATGGCATTCGTCATAACAGTTACTCCAATGATCCATTGTCTCGTCAAAATAGTTTTTATGATGGAGTTATTTCTCGTCGTAACAGCTATTCTAAGGGTTCTGCAACTCGTCAAGATAATTACACCAATTCTAGAGTTTTCCGTCCACCACAATATCGAAATGGAATGACATCACAATCAGATGAGGTATAGCATTTATACATTTTATTTTTGAATAATAAGAATAAACTCTTAATTAATTTTTTTGAAATGTTATCAGAGAGACTATGTTCAAGAATCAAGACCTCATTATAACAATAACAACAAMAACCAATATGGTTACTACAACTCAAATGAAAAACCAAATTATTCAAGATCTTCTAGTGGTGATGAATTTGTACTCAAAGTTGGAAATATTGCAAATAATGTTAGAGTGCGTGATTTGAAGGCTGCTTTAATGGAACGTGGAGTTAAACCACTGTATGTACAATTAATATATTATCATAAACTGTAAATATTTAAGATAACATTATACCATTTTTTAGGCATATTACTTGGAGAGGTCCTAGAGGTTTTGCATTTTTACGTTACAGTAATTCTTCTAATCTGGGTAAAGATGACGTCATGGGATCATTACAAAATGTGCGTATYAAGCCAAATGGTATTGAAACTGCTCAAACTCAGACACTTATTGTTACTGAATGCCAATTTTCATAAGTAAAATTTTGACTTTCCTTTGATTAATTTACTTAAAAAAAAAAAAATCATTCTTATTTTAAATCTTTAAACAACTGATAATCTATTTTGTAAATGGTATAACGATTATTTTAACTTCCATTTTCTCTTTATTTTATTCTTCTTTTTTGTGCTTTAATATTAACATATTTTCTAGTTAAAATTGTATAGAAAGTTTTATCAAAGCGTTTTTGATGTTAACCTTTCCTTGAAAAATTTAAGCACTATTATCTCAAATTTAATACTTTAGTTTGATAATTAGTTTTTGAAATTATATTGTTCTTAACTTACATAAGTACMTATGTTCATTTATTTAGAACAACTTACTTATTTTTATTGTAAAGAATTATTAGGGAACAAAACAAATAAAAACCTAATCTACTATTACTAAACAATAAACTACATTGATTAATATTATGTGGGTTAAGTTCAATTAATTTGTAAAAACATWTAATATTCAAGTTTTTAAACTTTTTAATGTTTTATTTACTCAAATTAACTTTGTAATCTGGACAATGTTTAAAATCAATTTAAAATTGACATACTGAGAGAGTGTCAAATATATAACAAATCAAGTGTGTTAAATATATTTAAGAGTATGTCTATTAATAAATAAAACAATTCAAATAATATAAATGTTGTTTTATTTTTTCAAGAAAATATCTTTTTTTTTATGCCATCTACATACACCAATACTAAAGGTTATTCCAATTAAAAAAATTACAAAAATAAATAATGTAATAATAAATTTTGAAGCATCTGTATGCATGGACTGAGTGTATTGTAGAGATTCCATTAATTCCCAAACGTTTTCTTYAGCTTGTTTTGTGCTAGGTAATTTGTCTTGAACATTCATAGTCTGATTCTTGTTTATGATAGGCAACTCTACCTAAAGTGAAGAAAATTTTACAATCAACTCGGAAATTTTTTATTGATTTATCCTGATTCCATGATTGAATCAAATGTTTTAATAATTTCACATCAAATTAAATTAGGGACTGGGATAAGTTGTATAATGTTATAACACTACACTGACAGTCACTAACCAATCTCAAGCAGATAATATGGGGTGATTWATTTATCGTTGAACACTTATTATATCAAAAAGTTGACATTTTTCCAAATATTTTTATTTTTTTTGTCTCTTTTCTAGATGTTTGTAAAGTTTTAATATTTTCACTCTTATATTTGTTAGGTAAACCTCTATCAACTTTTGATTTTCAAACTGGAACCGATATTAAAAATGTAAACAACTTTTATAGCTATTTTTTTTTTTTTTTTAATTTTAATTTTTCGTTGATCTGTCGGTGATATATAACTGCTCTAAGTTGGGTGGTTTTTGGTGTGTAAATGGTACTATATCTGATCGTGTTGCATTATTGGCATGTAAAAATGTAGGACGGGCGCAATGACGTTTCACCGGAAGTGACTGTGCTGATTGTGTAGTACGTATGTATAACACCAAAAACCACCCATCTTTGAGCAGCTATATAAMTTGCCAATGGATTTTTGAAAGTTGAAAAGTTTTTAACGAGAAAATTAATGAAAATAGATTTATTAATTTATTCAATTATTAACATAGATTGTCATTTAAAAATCGAAAGTTAATAATTTTTCTACTATTAAACATTAGGGTGAAAAAAATTTAAATGTTGTATGATTGTAGAGAAGCAAGTATCTAAAAGTTTTTTTAAATAATGGCTGTTCATCGATAAAAGTATCGCCCTGCATAAAACAAAGTCAAATCTGTTAAAAAAGTTGGATTAGATTAGCTAGGTGAATCAGAATGATATGATGGACAAGAGATTGGTATGTTTTGGCTGAAATAACTGTCTGCCAATGATTCTCTTAATTAAATGGATATTGAATAATGCATTTTATGCATTGAGTATTAATTTATTTCATAAACTTGGTGTTTATTTTCTGCTTAAAAAAAAAAAAAAAAAATATATATATAATTATTTTATTTTACGTACAAGTTTGAAACTGCACCAGTCCAAATTGAAACCATTAGCTCGAAAATAACGTTCAACACTCGTTCTYTTAAAATCCTTGGGACATTTATTCATTTTTTGCAACGGACTAATTTCTTTCTGAAGATCATATAGCATTGTTGAAAAATTCGATGAGCTTCCCAAATTGACAATAACGCTGATGGACATATACATTATTTGAGTGCTCATTAGAAAAATTAAACATTCGACATTTTCCTCAATTAAAATAACAATTTAGCAGTTGGTATATTGTACCTACCCCTCTGTATCGTTTGGGTCTAGTGGTAATCGTTGTCCCAGATCACTAGCWGATGCTAGAAACGTAACGTACAGGTTCTCTTTACTGCCCAGCCATAAATTTTGTCTGAATATATCCAACAAGTATGGTATGCGTTCTTCGTGAAACATGTCTTCCACATTCAAGTTATTAATCTTAAATCTTACTTCRTTCGTGGCATATTCTGTGAAAGAAATACTTATTCGTGTAATTATATTAATATCAATAGTCTAAAAAAAAAAAAACAAACTTAATTACTTTGCGCAATTCATCATTAACACTTACCAGATTTTTCAAGGATGTTTAATTGGATGACTTGTGTCTCGATCTGGTATGTYTTTTTGTTTAATCCAATAATGTCCAACTAAAATAATGACAAACAAAAATACAAATGTAATAAAACGAAATACCCATTGTTATTGTGAAGGAATATATAGCTTAACAAATACGGTGGAAGTTCACAGTTCGTCTCCGCCAATATAAGAATGCAGAACGAGAGAAATCGATAATTTTGTAAGAAATGATTCGTGATGAAAATAACACCAATATGAAGGCATGTCTCATTGCTGTTGCGGGAAATCTTGGCAAACAATATWTTTTTATTTAATTCGTGTACCGGAAAATAGGTCGTTTCCTGTTTCACTCGTTTAAACTACGAACTATGATAATTGTAAAATAGCTACTATCATACACTGTTATACGACGGTCAATTAAGTGTGTACACTAAAAAATTTTAAGAAGCATCCTGTACGACCGGAGCCGTATTTAGGAATTTGACACCAATAAGAGGCAAAAAAAATAAATACGCCTCATTAATCATTATACAAAATACAAATTTGAATTATAAAAAAAATAGCCGCCCTCTCCTACTAAGCCGCCCGGGGCAACAGTACCCTGTAGCTCCCCCCCTAAATACGGCCCTGTGTACGACTACATCAAATTCTAAAAAAATGAAATACAACAGGCCGTTGTTTGAATATCAAAAGTTTATGGTTGTTCCTGCAACAAACACGAAGATGACAAAAATAATGCTTGGTAATATGAAATATTAAAAACTTTAATTAAAAATAGCGTGCTAACACTATTATTATCAATAAAACCTTTTCTTAGAAATTATGCACGTTTCTGATTGTTCTAACTAAATAATCACTGTTATTTGTTCCGATTTACAGATGATATACCTGAACGGCGGACATATCCCCCCAAGGCTATTTTTGAAATAGGACATTCTCCCCCCCTCCTAATATTGTAAAACTTTTTAAAACGTGTATTATAATAATCGCAATATATTTTGCAAAAGCCRAAAACCCATTGCAATTATTTTAGTATTTTATGGTCTGTATTAYTATATTATTATGTGTATAGGTACCATCAATTGCTTAGAATTATAAGATGACATTTTTGCAACGTTTAATAGTCATGTAAAGGTTTTTTTTATCCAAAACTCCCATCAAGACCATGTTCCCCAAACTGTAGTCCGCATGTACATCGGAGGGGGTCCGCGATCGTAAATTAAAAATACAAAAAGTAAAATAAATAATTACAATAAAAATAATAAATAARTAAAACGAAAATGCTGATGTCATATTTTCGTATTACATGAAAAATACTGGATAATTGTTATATTGTCGAAATAGTTATCGTTGAAAACTGCAGCAATTAAGATTAATATCCCTTTTTTTTTTTAAGATTAGTTCGCGATCGTTTTTATTTTCTCAAAGTGGTCCRGCAGAGAAAAAATTTGGGAACCGCTGGTCCAGACTATTAGGATAACATCTTTACATGTTAACATTGAATTATATCAATTCAAATCACGTGAAAACGTAAATAATTAAATGAATTAAGCAAAAAAAATAAAAATAAAAATAAGAATTGTATACATTTTATTACATTAATATTATGTACCTACTAATTAATAATATAGGTATATCGAAATAAAAATATGGGTGGAAAATGTCTTACTATGCCGAAAATGGCCGTAGGGAAATTATTGTCCACTAATACCATTATACCTGTACCAATAGCTGCGAGAATAACATTATTTAATTTAGTTTTCTTTACTAGGATTTTTCGGTCCAACGAGTCCGTGGGCGGTGTTCCATACAAGTATCCGTGTCTATTTTTGTCGTCGAATTTGTAATATATCCAATGTAGCAAGTCTGGGTAGTTTTGTAAGGACGGCGTGAACACGAACCTGGAGTCTGCTCCTAGATTGTTCGAAAATCAAGCACAAAACTGTCTGAAAGAGAAGCTATATGGCGGTACCTATTCGAACTGTTCGAATCGAACACCAAAATACCGTTGGTCCAGTTAAAGAGTTCCGGGCGAATTTCGTGGTAGAACATTTCCGTTTCGTTCACATCTCTCGTAATCACCGCGGTCGTCGGTTCCACGCGGCCCAGTGTAGAAATAATGCACATAATGCACGCGGTATTTACGAAAACCGCAGCGGTCGATTGCATCGTCGTGAATAACAACAACAACAACAACAACAACAATAACATACGACGCCCGAACCGTAGGCTCCTCGGACGTTGAGCGCCGGCGTGTACGATTGGTCACCTATCTGGGACGGCGTTCGGCGATGGGCTTTTATTTTTTTTTTTTTACGATTTAATTTGGGTGAATTTTATCAATTTCGTATCGATGATTTATTACGATCGTTGAGTACCGTCGTGGTGTGGGTGCTACTTGTAGCGAATGCGAAAAACGATAGCGGAGGAGCGTGCGCGGACGCGGAGAGGACGGGAGGAGAATAATCGTAAAATATTCGTAGTAAAACGTGTCTGCAGGACGTCTGCGGCTGTTTGATCAGCCGGTCAGAGTGCGCAGTGGGGACCGGCGGGGCGCACTCGCGAGTTTTCGCCAAATATTTGTTTTGCCCGTGGCCGTATTCCAAATCGTCGGTTTTCGACGCATTTTTCCGTACAAACCGTTTTCGAGTTCCACGAATACGCACACAGTCGGCATATTGTTACTGTCGACTGTCGTCGTTATAGGTATAATGCCTACCCGTGTAATGCGCACGCGCCGGCTGACGGGCGCATCGTCGCGATAATAATACGCGCGCGTGTCGGCGGGAGACACATTGACGTCAGCGTGGGTGGGCGTGTCGTTTATAATATTATGCACCTTATCAATAACAGTCGCAGCAGCAGYAATAATAATAAATAATAATACTGTTAATAATAATAAAATTTTGTAGTACGTCTGTGCGTGTTATTATTGTTGTAATAAAATATAATAATGATTTTATTATTRTCATGGTATAGGTGGTAGCTGCGGTGGCGGAATCGACTAGCTGTTTTCAAGTGTTCCGACGGCGTTCGCGGGCGAGTGTTTTACGAATGTAATCGCAATTATAATATTATTACAATGGATACGTACTATTATTATTATCATTATTATGGTAGCGATATTGTACGACCCCGCGCGAGCATGTGCACCGGACGCGGAGTCGTTTTTCCGGTCAAACGCAGTCGCTCCGTCGTCGGAAACGGTCTTCCGGTGCGCGGTTGATCGGCTCTAGCTGTCGTTCCGTAGTAATAAAAATCGTGTGATTGATTCTCAATATTTCTCATCCATTCCGGTCCGACATGGCTTGCGAATCTTCCACTCGCGTTCTGTTTGTCACTGCGAACATTGGGTCGATATTCGAAAATGTGAGTACATGTACAACACCCCTATGCTATTGTTGATATTATTATTATTATAATTATTATCCTGTCAAAAGCAATACAAATAATAATCKCCCTGCAGCCACTCTTCCATCGCTCTTCTGAATATTTTGATTAAAAGATTTTTTTGAATAGTACCTTGAATAGTACCATGACGTACCTAAATATACATTCCAAAATTTCTGAAACATATTATCTAGAGTTCTAAGCCTACCTTTTTCATTTGTGATTAAACCGAGTTGGAACAAAGAGAAAAAGTACTTATTATTATTGGTTCTTTTATTAATAACCAATAACAACAACCTGTTTCCTTACTTACAAATGTAATATGTATAACTGACCGTGATGTCAGGTCCTAAGCTATTTTATTGCACTGATTTGTTAATATTTGGAATTATAGAGTTATATTTTAACTTTATTTGCTTCCACTAATATATAGTACAGTACATGTAGTATAATAGCACCTAWAGTATAGTTGATGGTTAATTAATTTATAGAGAAGGTATCTAAAACATTTAATCATAAACTGATGTTAAAAAWCTATTATTATATAGATATTATATGCATACCAATGACTAATACATTTTCATCTGAATCTTCAGATCTCACTAAAAAAGTGAAGATTATAATTTTAAATTGTTATCAAAGTGGATTGTTATCAATTTTGATAACATCCTGAATTAGATTTCTCTTGCTCAAATATTGTATATTTATTTATGTATTTTATTTTTTATATTTACAAAACAAGAGTAATATTGTTACACAATTGTATGCATAGGTATATTCTTATTCTGAATAGGTCTGATCATTATTTTATAATTTAATTATAATTAATTTTTTTTTTTTATTAATGCACACAATATACCATTCATCATGTTTTAGATATTTCAAAAATCTAATTTCATGAAAAGTAATGACTAACAGGTGACGAATTATTGTAATTCAAGACATTCATTCAAAAATTATTTTGTTTCACATCTCTTGTATAKTTTCTATTAAATGATAAGATTTAAATTCTTACTAAGATATATAGTTATCTCAAACTCAAATCGATCAATTCAAGTTTCTCATGTAGTTATGTCCATAGCTGTGTATACTTCATTCAAATTGTCATTGCAATGGTTAGTAGGTATTTTAAAAAATAGTAACCTACATTAGGTATAAGTTCTATGTATAAACACTTGAAAAATTACCTAATATTAATACACACACAATACATTTAGATATATTTTAATTAAAAGCTGTAATGGTGTATATTGACATACTGTTCTCTGTTGCACAATTTAGTACAAACTTAAAGTCTACCTTTGACCCTTTAAATAAAATAAATTATTTYATAATGTAGGATATATACTATAATATGTATGATTAGTAATGTGCAGATAATAATTCTACTTTTTTATTCTTGAAAATTCTAAATTAGGTATGATCAATTAAATTAAAAAATAAAAGAGTTGGAATAACTATATTAAACATAACCAAAAACATTTAGATTTCACCTTTCAAGACTTTTAACTTGCCTTYCATTAGCTTTGCAATTCATTCACTATATAGGTACATATTGTATAATGCATGTTTTATATCCAGTTTTGAGTCTGTTGGTCTAGTTTAGTTGTTATAGCTCTACTATTGTAAAACTCAATTAAGCCCAGGCACTGTCCCACTTTGCGGTCGGATTGCTACACCGCTGAAGTCATCAGTAAATTACATCTGGTTTACCCAGTAAACATTTTTAATTAGTTTTTACAATTAATTATTCCATAACATGGTAATCTACTATACTAGTGAGATTTTAAGGATGATTTAAAGTTATCAACTAAAACATGTTTTTAAGGTCAAGTACTTATATTTGAAAGTTCAGATAATTTTGTTTATTTTACATTATTTTATTTATTAAAAGTTGTTTGACCTATTTGAATAATATATAGAAAAAAGCGATATMCTAAACCAAATTTTCTTTTCAAATAATAAACAAAACTGCAATAATGAAATAATTATTTCTTAATAAAGATTTTAATTATTAGTTTAAGAGGACGTGATACCTGCATATTCTGTTGTCTCCGTCTTACAAGTGCGTAACATGGCAATTTTTAAGCTCAGCAGAACACGTGTAGCTTTGGTAATTTAAAATTTAGAGTGAATTGACCTTTTATAAAAATCAAAGGTAACATTGTTATTAAAGGGTGCTCATGGGATTTTTATTATATTTTAATTTTAAAGAGAGTTATGAGCATTTTAAGATATACAAACAATTTACAGTTTTAAAATACTCATAACTCGCTTTGAACTTAAAATATAACAAAAAACCTATAAGAATCCTTCGATAGTAATGTTACTTTTAAATTTTATTACAGGTCTATTCACTYTAAATTATAAACTTACGGAGTTAAACGTGATCTTCTGAGCGTAAAATTTGTTATGTTACGCACTTGTAGGACAACACATGTGGGTATAATGCAGGTACCTACTCTTAATATTCTCATAATTGAACAATTCATTTTTTTTTYCATTATGATTATTAGTGTTTTATAATTATCTGAAGTAACTATCATAATTATTTCTACATAGTTAAAAATAGAGATTGATATACTTGTTAAAAATAAATCAAAGCATAAATAGTGGATAGAGTGAAATTTAATATCAAGGGCTTAATAAGGGTCAAATATTCGTCGAAATAATCTATGATGATTATAATGATATAATTTGATCCTATTATTTTGGTATATTGTATAATTTATTACTGAATAATATTAAAAAAATAAAAATAAAAATAGGTACAATTATGATCGAGTGTGTGTGGCCAATTATCAATAAATTATATTTTTTTAAACACACGAAAAAAAAAATGTTAGTACCCATTACTTTTTATTGCACCTGTTTTGATTTGTTTTGTGTACTCGGTTTTTTTAAAATAATATTTCAATTTCATGAATATCTGTTTATGTACAGTTGTACAATTCAATTGTACTATTCTACTATGTATTTGGTGTAAAATAAAGATTAATTATTAATCTATGGTGGGTACCTTAAATTAAATACTTAACACGAAGTAAAAATAATTGTTACACTAGCAAATATAATCTAATATTAATTAATCACACATTGCAAATTTCTTTTGAAGAGATGAAGCGTTTTGTAGTTAAAAATGACACAAGAACCARTATGATAGGTACTAATAATGTTGGCTACGTTAGGAGTATGATACACCTGCACGCGTTTTCTCCATTACGATTGTAATACAAACGATAGATAAAATCAACCTATCATCAAAAGTTTTCGAGGTAGGAAATCCCAGTGAGATTTTTAGTGAATTTCTAATTGTTTTTTTTTTTTATACTTTAATTTTAAAGTGAGATATTAGCATTTGAAGTTATAAAAACAATTTACAATTTTAATAGGTCAGATCGCTCGTCTTAAAATCAAAAACTWCAAACAAAAATCTATGATATTTGATATTCGCTAGAATATTTGATAATATTCTTAGGCACTTCTGAATTTAACAATAGGTCAATATTCATTCTTATATTAGCCATGACGGAGTTTAAATGGATTATTTAGAACATGCAATATACAGTTTGYGGTTAATGCGTTTGTAAGACGGTGGCAACGCGTTCGTCCTTTGACTTCCGAGGGATACAATTAATATTRTCATGAAGTGTATGTATGTATGTAGGTAGGTTAAAACAGTTGACAGTATTTTATTAACGGTTTATCTGTAATCTTTACCTACTCTAAAAAATTATTCGAAAATTGATGAATAGTTACTTCCATCATAAAAGGTTACACATCACCGTCGTGCGCCTATTCGTTTCGTATAATAATTCGTACAAATTCGTTGTTTTTTCAATATATTCTACAATAACGCACAATATTCGTGATTCACAGATATTCGTCAATATAGAACTCCCGCCAAGATATTATATTTAAGGATTGAGGTTACATTATAGTTATGCTACCTATAATAGATTTACATTATTACACTCTAGCACGGAAACTGTGATGATGAAGTCGCGATCGTTAGTGAAAATTTTATAGTTACTATAAGCGCAGGACTTTGAAAACAAAATCCTTGTGAAAATTGTAGATGGTAGACCACAACATTATTCGAAAATCTTTTTAGATCTACTTTATACTCTATATATATATATATATAGAGATTTTTTAGAAAGGAGGAGCTGTCACCGCCCCACTATGTGTGCGTAATCATTTTAATTATGCTGAGATTTGGGATATTAAGTTTTTAATGTATTTTAAATGAGGAAGTTTGGAGTCAAATACTATTCCTATAGTGTTCGTAATTTCTCTTGATAGTTTTGAGACTTGTGACTTGAGAATGTGAAGCCTAGTTTACACGTTTAAGTACCTACTTAAATATTTTTTTTTTTTATTTAATGTCATAATATTATTTAAAAAAAAAAGTTATATTTATATCATTTTGTGACGTTATCATTTTACAAACGTTTTCATTTTTTTGAATGACACAATGTATTTTAAATTACATATTCCAGAATATTTTTTTGAGAATTATAATAAATAGAGTATTATTAATTTCATTCTGAATGAGTACTTAATAAATAATAAATTGAGGGTTTAAATGTAATAATAATAAAAAAAAATATACATTTAAAAGGACATAAATGTTTTATCTAAATACATTTAACAAAAGCTATATTAACTGCAATCTCTTATTAATTTATCTAAAAAKTTATCCTTTTTTTCCTTTTTTTATTCCATAATCAATCTGCTTGTTTGTTTTGGATTCTGGGCGGAGTAACGACTAAGTTGGTAGATTTTAAAATACTGTGTGTGTTTTTATTTTTTAGTATATATTTTATACCTAGTTGAAAAAAATCTCCAACAATCAATTGTACGGTTCTGATAACCAATTGGATTAAGTTGCGATACTCTAGGATTCCGRGTACTTTTGAAAAAAATTAAGGAAAGACTGGTATATTTGATATTTCCTCAAAACTTACTTTCGACAA